GTGAGGACAGGGCCTAAAAGTGCAGGTGAAGGTCCCCTGGGGCCTTGGAAACACTGGGAGAGGAGAGGCTTGGGCCGCCCTGGGCCCTGGCCGCCCCTCCCTGCCTGCTGAAGGTCCCCGTCATGGTTCTCTTGTTCTCCTTTCCCTAAAAGCTAAATGCTGCTGACAACGTGACTGCCCCTACTCCCGAGAGAGGTGGGCAGACAGAAAGGGGACTGACAAGCGCTCAGTATCGCCTTCCCCTGGGGGGACGGGGGTGGGGTGGGGGAGTGCAGTGACTCGGTTCCCCTTTCCCCCACTCCGAGCCGCCGCCTTCCTTTCCCCTGTGAGCAGCTCTTCCTCTGAGTGTGCTAACATTAGCTGCTGCCGCTGGAAGGCCGCCCGGACATCTGACCTCGGGGCTGCGTTCCCCCAGCTCTGTCCCGCCCGCCCACGCTCCGGCCAAGGGCCTGTTCTCCCTCCTCCCCGGCCAGGCCCAGCCTCCTCTCCCCGGCGAGCCTCCCAGCCTCTCTCAAGTCAGGAGACCAGCGAGAGCTGGGGTGCACCGCTCCCGGGAGGGCGGGGCGCGGAGGCCGGAGCGAGGCTCCAGGCCGCCTCACTTTGCTCAGCCTCAAGGTATTTCCGGCCACAACAGACACCCGTTTTGGGAGCAGGTCCTTCCTTCCATGCTTGTCAGATTAGGGCGCCGAGGCTAAGTGACTTGCCTGGCAGAAGAGTTCAGTGACTACGTCCGGCCTGGCACCCAGCTGCCTGGGAACCCAGGGTCTTCATCTTCCCGCTCACCCGGAGTCGGCATTGGGCCCGACGGCCCCAGCCAGGGTCCCTGGCCGGAATCCAGAAGCGCACAGAGCCCGAGGCAGTTCCCTGCCTCTCCCCCCCACCCCCGCATCCCGGGCGAGCAGGGGCACCAGGGCCCGCCCTGCCGTGGCTAACCCTGCAGCTTGGGGAGCCGGGCTCCCTGCCCTGTCTCCATCGGCACCTTCGAGGGCCTCCACCTAAGGGCGCCTCTCCCTCCTCAGCTTCTCTTCCTTCTCGGGCCTGGCTCTGCCTCCTGCGTCCTACTGCCAGGGTCTCACCTCTTCCCTTCCGGAGGCTGGGGTGCCCCTCTTGTTCTCCTCAGGTGCGTGAGCCTGGGCCTGTTCTGCGTGGCGCTGTGGTTCCCTGTAGCGCCGCATCGGGAGAAGGAAAAGTGATGTGATTGCTTTAGTCAGTAGTCTACAGAAGAAAGTTATGAAGAAGCATGATTATGGCCAGAGATGAGCTCGGCTGTTTTCTGTCTGAGCTATAGTTCCTCATTAAATAATGACCTGAACTGTGTCTTTATTTAAGTCAGGGTTTCTTGCGTTACTTAGTCAGACAGATGGCCCCTGGAGCCTCAATTTGATTTCCAGCTTTTGCCTTTCCTATGGAAGATCTGATTCCAAAACGTTCTCTGGTGATCCAAGGAGTCTCCCAGACACCAAGCTCTGCCCTGGGGGAGGCTCAGGAACAGAGGCTTTGGAGTAGGAGAAATACCCCGGGGAGCCGTGCTTATTGTTCTGTTGCGCTGCAGACCCCAGCCAGGGCTTGGGCGTGCACTTGTGTGTGAATGCTGAGTGTCTTGTGAAACCTCAGATGGTGAGAGTTTCCCCTGAGGCCTGTTGGCCTCACCACATCGTGCACGTAGTGATTGGTTCATCCTTCCCACTGGGAGTGGCAGAGGGCTCAAAGGGTCAGGGAGGCTGGCTGCAGAATGGCACAAACCAGTGGGAATAGAGCAGCCCTGGACAACTTGGTGCCCAGTGGGAACCTCGCTGTTGGGCCCAGGGAAACTGGCCAGCAGTCAGAGTGTGCCTGAGGCCTAACACCCTGGGAAGCTGTTGACTACGTGATGTTCTGGCCTGCCCACAGCCAGCCCAGCTCGTGGACGGGACTCAGAAAGCAAGATGGGGGCCTGATCCCATCTTTTTTTTTTCTTTTCTTTTTTCTTTACCCCAACAGGAGGCAGAAAGCCCCAGGGGAAAGTAGTTAGCTCATGACTCTTTCAGGCCTTATGTTTGACCCTAAAATTGCTGCTGTCCTATCAGTCAGCATTTCTCCATAATTATTTTGATGGAGTTTGTCTACACACACAGACCAGTGTGAATTGAGCGTCATGAAGAGGATGAAGGAAAAGAAAGAGGAAAAAGCTGCATTTCAGGCGGGGGTGGGGGGGAACTATACTGCACTATACATAGTTTGGCAGGTTTTCTTGTCTTTTTAGTTAAGCAGGTTTAACCTGTAAATTATATTTCCTCCTGGCACTAGAAGCCTCTGCCCAAACATCACTTTGAGCAGTTGCATGGTATTCCTTCAAGTGGCTTTGGCCAGGGTTCCTCAGTTGTAAGCAGCTGAGACTGTCTCCCACTGATTTACACCAGAAGAGAATTCCCTGGAGCGACTGAGAGAAATATGGGAGAGGAGTTGGTGAATGAAGCCCCAGAAAGGGCAGGGACAGGGTAGCCGGAAGGATGGTGGAGGCGGGGGCTTGTGGCAGGCTCGGGGCCTCCCCGCGGGGTGAGCCAGCCCGCATCCCCCGGTCCAGGAGTCGGAGCCCCGGAGCAGGAGAGTCTGGTGGGCCACACCCACCCCGTGCCAGGGGGATAAGAGGCATAGTCCCACCAAGACACTGTCCGGTGAGGGAGAGGAGGAGTCCCAGTGCAAAACTGGGGTGCTGCTAGCAGAAGAAGGGGGTGCACCACCAGGCCGTGCGGTTTCACACGCTCAACGAGGGGAGTGGTCGTGGGGCTTATCCAAGCCAGGGGACACAGAGAAGGTGTTTCTTCGAGTTGTAAGATCTCCGTGCGAGGATGGCCCGTCCACGTGCGCCCCTGGGTGCAGAGTCAGAGCCCGCGTGGGGAGCCCGGGCGGCCCGGGGGTCGACCCCAACTTTGTCTGGTGCTCTCCCCACTTCTCCGCTGAGTTTTGACTTGGCACGAGCCCAGAGATTTTGGGAGGCAGCAGATCCTGTCCAGTGAAAATCCTTTGCTGTCGGCCCTGCGTTCGCCAGGCGTGTGGCGGCAAAAGAGCAAGACAGGCTTGGGCTGACGGGTGGGCATAGCGGTCGGTCAACAGAGTCACGTGGCGCCTGCTCTCTGCCGGGAATGTCGGGGACAGGACGGCAGCCTGGAGAAGCTTGATGTTGGGGGCAGTGGAGCATGAGCAGAGGAACAGACGAACTGATGCACACGGGGAGAGCGTTACACGAGGCCACGTGGGGAAGAGCGCGGGTGGGGAGGGCAGCTTTCGGCCGGGGAAGGCCGCCAAGGAGGCCACGTGACGGGAACCAGCCGCAGAGCGAAAACCCTGAGGCGGCAGCGAGCTGGGCCAGTCCCGAGCTGCGTGAGTGAGGCCGGGATGGACGGAGGTTTGGCTCTGGTGGGCTGCGGGGAGCGGGGGCGCAGCCGGGTTTCATCCCGGTTGCCGTGGGGAGTGGTTGGAGGGTTGTGAGCAGAGCAGCCACGTGGCCTGGTCCCCCTGGGTCTGTGTGGAGGATGGAGGATGGAGGACAGGCCGGGGCGCAGGGTGGGGACCAGGTCGGGGGTTCGTTTGGTCCCTCGGTGGAGGCTCGAGCCGGGCGGCGTGGGGCGTGAGAAGCAGTCGTTCCGAGCGTGTGTTCTCCAGCCTGGCGAGCGCGTCCGCGGCAAACACAGACAGGTCCTCGCTAAGTGAATGAATGAGTGAGTGAGTGAGGGCGGGGGAGCCCTGCGCGCTGGCCCGGTGGCTCCCGTCCCGGGGCACAGACCCTCCCAGCATCTCTGGCGCCCACTCACTGGCCCCCATTCCTGGGGGAGGGCTCCCAGCTGCCCCTCTGTCTGGAGCACGGCGGCTTGCGGGGGAGGAGGGGCCGGTGAGCAGTGCCCCCCTGACCGTCAGCAGTCAGTTTGCTTCCCGCCTTGTCTGTAAACCCAGGCCTTCCTCGGTGGCCCCAGTGCAGCAACACGCGGCCCCCTGTGTCTCGCGCCCTCCTGCTTGCCCTGGCCCTGTCCTGGTTTGGGCGTCTGTGGGCTCCCAGCCTGGGTGGCTCCCCTCGCCACCAGGCGCGGCGGTGGGGTAGGGAGGGGCGGGATCTGTGCTTCCCGGGGGGTGTCTGCTTTGTGCTGGGGCTCCTGCAGCGTCGGGGCTGCTTCCCTAGAACAGCCAAGCCTGTGGCACCAGCCAGGCCCAGCTTCTCTCTCTCCGAACCTTCTCTGGGCCGTGGGGCCTGTCTGGCTTCCGCAGGTGACGCTGCCCGGAGGCAGGGCAGGGCTCTGAGTGTCTGTCACCTGCTCTCCCTTCAATGACTTTGGTGTGAGCTGGGAGGGAGGCAGAGGAAACCGTCTGTAACTTTTTCCAGATATTTACCCGGGTGGACGCCAGGAGGGGGACCTATCCTGAACACATAAGGATTGTTTTAAACCCAAGATGGGAGACTGGAGGAGGGCGGCCCTGCCCGCCTTCCCCACCCCGGCCCGTTAAGTTCCTTCTAGTCCTTTAGAAGCAGCTCTGTTTGCCCCCCACCCCCGGAAGCCAGCCCTGACCTCCAGCATCCCAGCACCCATGGCCTGGCCCATCTCCCTCCAGTCCCACTCTCTGTAGCTCAGGGGTTTGTGTGACTGTGGCATCTGATGTGTGAGCTTCCTTAGGGCTGAGGTGGGCGGTCCTTCACCTCTGTGTTCCAGACTGGTCAGGACAGACCCTTGATGACCTGATGGATGAGCACATTGCTGACCAAGGGCAAAGGTCCCTGACTCGGGCAGCTGAGGACAGGGGTGGGGCAGCTGCTGCCAGACACTGGCTACCCTCTTATCTGGGTGGGCCGGGTGTTCCTGGTCAGCAGCACCCCGTCCTCCTTCCAGGCCTGAAAGAGCCAGGGCCTGGCTCTCTGCCCACTTCTTGGACTGGTAGCCTTGCGCGTCTCTGTCACTTGGGGCTCCTCTCAGAAGCTAGAGCCCTCTGTGACCGCTGACCCTTCTGGAGCTGAGAGCTGCTTTCACCATCGCACGCTCAACCCCAGCACAGCCTGCACGTAACGAATTACCGGTACACATTTGCTGAATGAGTGGAGGAAGGAAGGAAGGCAGGGATGAGTGAGACCCTTCTTCCTGGGGCCCCGACGGGCATAGATGGTGTCCTCCTCATCAGAGGTCAGAACAGGCCTCTTGACCTGGGCCTCGGCCAGCACAAGGAACCCCTGGAGTGTTCCACGCTCGGCTTACCGTGTAGCCGTGGAGCAAGTGCCTGGGCTTGGGGTTCTTCTAGGCCTCACTGGCTTTTCACCCAATGATCATAGTGTTCGGCTGAGGCTATAGGTGTGGGGTTAGAGAGCAGATGCGCAGCGTTCACGGTAGACAGGGACACCACTGTGGAGATGCGGTGCCGAGGAGTCCAAAGCCGTAGCTGTGTGCTGAGGCCAAACATAACCTTTGAGTTTCCGTTTCAGTTCGTCAGGATGCCTCGGGGGGCCTCCTGGCTGCCCAGCAGCCTCTGCAGAGCCAGGGCCCCCGCTCCTGAGCTTTACCCATTGCTTATTCACAGAGACGGGAGACGTGTTCTCCTCGTGCCTCGAAGGGAGGGCTCTGGAGGTGGCCTCTGCCCTTCGCTCGAGGTTCTTCCTGTCACCACGGACAGGAAGAGGTCCCCTGTCCTCCTAGCCTGGGTTGTGGGGAGGCCTGTCTCCAGCTCAGCTGGGTGAACCGTTCACATCACAGCTCCTTCTGCACCCTCCTCCATATCACTCACATGGAAAAATCCCCTAGTGTCAGAAGTCACGGGGCTCTCTTGTGTGTTTTTAAAGCCCATTAACTTGATGGACTCCATAACTCACCGAAGGCTCCGGACAGAAAGCCCAGACCTAATTACGGGCAGATGTCTCTTTTAATACTTTTTTTCCTCCTTTCCCTAATCTGACGTTACCCCTTTAATTGTGACTTTAGCAAGGGATCAGTGCAGGGTCATGTGCAAACGTGCTTCTTATGACTTGAAGAGTGATAGCTTTTCTGGTTGTTTTCAGCACACGCCAAAGAAGATGAGTCAAGGACCGACACTTTTCTCTTGTGGAATTATGGGTGAGTAACCAAGGTGGCTGTGGACAGTCAGTCCTTCTCTAGCCCTTCCACCAGGGCCTGAGTGCTCCAGGTGAGACGCTAAAAGCACTTGTGGGACACAGGCACGAGGAGTAGCCGTGGGGACTCTCTTCTGTGTGTTTGCGCTGTTCCGGTCTCAGCAGTGCTCGAGTGGTGCAGGGGCTGCTGCGGCTGACTGAGGGGGCCGGGCGCTGGTGTGTGGTTTACGAATCTAATCTCCAGCAGTGATACTGAGAGTTTCTGTCTGATTATTAAAGTAATCATGTTCATTTTAATTCAGAAAGTGCACCATAGTGTAACGTATAAAATAAAAATCTCTCATAGCCCCAATACACAGTTACAACTACTGTTAATATTTTGGTGTAGTTTATGTCCATTGCATTATACGATTGTACAAAATTATCTACAAGATTTTTTTTCCGCTTTTTTCTCTTAGTAATAATTACCATCGTTTCCCCGTAGCGCTAAAATCGCCCATTCCGTGCATTTTAATGAGGCTGTGGTATTGCATTGTGTGGATGATTCAAAATGTATTTAATGATGTAACTGTTTCTTGGTAGTTGGGTAGAAGGACCATTCTGTTTTCTGTTTTAACAGTGACTCAGAGTCTGAATCTCGCTCTGCCTTTTGGCTTGTTCCTTAGGATCGTTCCCAGGTATGGAGTAGAGTGGCTGGAGAGCGGGAACATTTTCATTTTTAAGGCTCTTGCTTCATATTTCTGACATGCTTTCCAGAAAGGTTGCCTCGGTACCCTGTTCCCATGCGAGTGTTAATTACCGTTTGTATAAGGGGGCCAAAAAGAGGACTGTATTGACTGTATTGATTTCTCCCTGCTCCGGTTGATGGGGCAGTTTCTCCTTGCGCGCTCTCCCCTGGACTCCTGCCCCCTGCGGAGACACCTCGCCAGATGAGTTTCTGTAAACCAGGCTTCCATGATGGGTCCTCTCTTTCGGGTTTCAAGTTTGTCTCCGCAGGACTATGTAAAGTCTCCGTTGCCTTTTGTCTCGGCCCTTTGCCTCTGGGCACGGCCGGTGTTTTCTTTAGACTCAGTTCCCATAGGTGGGTGATGGGGGTGGTGCTGGGGGTGTCACAGTGAGCATGGTGCTGTGCCACGCGCCTCACATGCAGGACCTCCTGGACTCTGCAGCTGCTTTGGGGGGCGGGCAGGGGCGCTCACTCACATCTGGGGAAACTGAGGCCTCATGAGGTGGGTAGAGTTGGACCCGGAGCGGGTGAGGATTCTTTTCTTCTCACTCACGAGCCACAGCTCTGTGGCAGAGCCCCGGGCGGCCCTCTTGGTGCTGCCGCCCAGAGGAAGTGGAAACAGGGAGCTCACCTGGCCTTGGTTTTACCCGTGTGACACACTTCTGAGGCCTGTCCCCACATGGGGCTTGACTGAACACCTCGGTGGTGGTTAACGGCTTTCGACAAACCCTCAGCGACCCATCCACGTGGCCCAGAAGCCTGCCTCATTGCCTGCTTCCTGGTCAGACTCACAGTTGAGCTGTGGCTGGGCTGCCTTCCTCTGTCGTGTCCAGGAAGGAGAGAGGGGCTCCTGGGCACGCCAACCCCTCAGCCCAGCCAGGACGTCAGCTCTGAATTGGGCCAGACTAGTGACCTGGACTGTGGAGATGTTGGTCTTTATTTCAAGGCCGTGTCGTGCGTCGGGCTTCCTTGGCCTTTGCTCCAAGTGCATCAGGATAAGTTGGAGCTCCTGTGGGTTCGTGATGGTGGTGTCGGCACTCACATAGTCACTCTGAACTATTTACCTTTTCTAAGCCTCAGTTTCCTCATCTGTAAAATGGCTGTCAGGACAGCACTTCCCTCGTGGGCGCGCCTCGAGCACTCTGAGACGTTTGTAAGGAGGTTGGCACAGCCTGAGCTCCATACACAATAGGTGGAAAAGAAGGCTGAGGCCGAAAGTGAGAATCCTGCTCCTGCGGGGGGGCCTCCACGCCCAAAGGGGCCACCTTGGTCTCCTTGGGGAGGGGGTGTGAGTGAGAGTCGCCCTTGCGGGGGAAGATGCTCAGGCCCAGGGCCCAAGCCAGAGGCGTGTGGGGAGAGGCCTTTTCCCAGATTCCCAGCAGAGCTGGTCTGAGCCCGCAGAGCCCAGAGGCCTGCTTTTCGCTGGTGGCGGAGGCGGGGGGTAGGGGGATGAAAAAGGACGGAGAGGAGAGAGGAGGTGTTTGTGGCGGGGGGGGGGGGGGGGGGGGCCCTGTCTCTGGCCGGGGTTTCCAGGACGGCCTGTGCCGCTGCTCCTCCAGGCTCCTGTTGCCGGGTGGCTCTTCAGGAAGGGCTCTGCAGTGCTCCCCTCGCCCTCGGGCTCTTCCCTTCCGTGGGGTCTGTCCCCCTCCTGCTCTGCTGGCTGGCACTAGGGCACTGCCAGGCAGTGGAGGGGCAGTGGGGCAGCCACTCTGTGGGGTCTGCGCAGTTACCCCCAGCCTCTCCTCGGTCTCTCTCTCTCTCCCACATGCTCATCTTTCTGTTCTCAGCCCCTTCTTGGTTTGGGAGACCCCGACCCACCTGACAGCACGCACTACCAGGGCTTTTAGAAAAGTTCACCACGGTTCGTTTCAGTGGCTTGTTCTGGTAGGTATTTATTGAATACCTACTCTGTGTCAGGCACTTGGGGCGGGGATAGAGCGAATCAGCCCCTGCCCTCAAGGGGGTTTCTGCCTGGCGGAGGAGGAAGGCCAGGGAGCAGTGGATTCCCGTGGATTAGGCCGACTTGCACGATTCACGCCTGAAGCAGGCCCTCGGCACTGTAGGTGTGTAGCGTGTAGCGCGTCTTCCTGAGCCTCACTTTCCTCATCCTGCACATGGCAGGTGTTTGTGGGATTTAAAGAGACAGTGGCACCCAGGAGGTGCCGGCTCAGCCCCTCCCACCTCCATCCCTTTCCTGCACTTGCTGAGGCGGGAAAGTCAGCGGTCCAAGGCCTTCCAGGCTGTGTGCTCGTGGAGACTCCGGTGGCTGCTCCAGCCCAGTGAACCTGAGACTCGAGGTGTGGCCTCGCCCTGTGACCTGAGTAGCAGTGAGACTTCATCCTAGCTGTGCCTGCTTTTCCGTAGCAGGGAAGAGGACACCCAGTGGGTCGAGCCAGACTTTTCCAGAGGGTTTTGGGCCCTTCCTGGGATGGTCAATGCTCAGCAAAGGTAACACATCATAGCACTGGGACTTCCCTGGTGGCGCAGCGGTTAAGAATCCGCCGGCCAATGCAGGGGAAACGGGTTCGAGCCCTGGTCGGAGAAGATCCCACATGCCGCGGAGCAACTAAGCCCGTGTGCCACAACTACTGAGCCTGCGCTCTAGAGCCCGCGAGCCACAACTGCTGAGTCCACGCGCCACAACTGCCGAAGCCTGTGCACTCAAGGGCCCACGTGCGGCAACTACTGCGCCCACGAGCCACAGCTACTGAGTCCGTGCGCCTAGATCCCATGCTCTGCAAATTGAGAAGCCACTGCAATGAGAAGCCCGCGTACCGCAAAGAAGAGTAGCCCCTGCTTGCTGTAACTAGAGAAAGCCCGCAAACAGCAATGAAGACCCAATGCAGCCACCCCCCCAAAAAAAAAAAAAAAAATTCATAGTATTATAATCACCAAAACCCCCTGCCTGTCTCTTGAAGAAAAAGGACTCACGTTCTGGCCCTGATCAGTGGAATTCTCCCGTGAGAGCTGGGGACAGCTTGGCCCTGTGACTCGGGGCATTTCCCTCCTAAGCCCCCATGCAAGGGTCCTAACTGGATGCCAGGATGAGTTAGAGTTTCATAAATGTTCTTAAGAGAAACCAGGCAAGTGTATTCGGATAGGGAGTGCCTGTTTGCTTCCTCTTAAAAAACCGCCCTTGCAAGTAGCTCAGCCTCCTCTGCACCCGCTGAGATAAAATGCTTTACTGACATAGTCGGTGCTCACAGCAATGTTTTGTTTTAAAGTGTTTCGTGCTTATTTGCTGTGAGCGGGATCACAGGCCCCTCCCCGCCTTTGTCCCCCCTCCCCCCCGCCCCGTGCCCCAAGTCTGGGGACGTGATACAAAGAAGTGGTTTTGTTCTTTTCCAGAGTGGGGCTGTGGGGGGACAGAGGCGGTGAAGTGTGGATGAGAGAAGCAGGGCAGAGTGGAGCCAGGCCACCGGCAGGCCGGGGCTGAGTGCCCATCGTCAGGCCGCCCGCCTAGCCTGGATACCGCAGGGCCCCTTCTAGCAGAGACGGTGCTGTGCCTCTTGGTTTCTTTTCTCACCTCCCAGACCGTCCTCAGCACACCTGTGCTGAACTGGAATTTCCTCTGCAACCAGCTTCTCTGGGGAAGAGCCATGTCTGCCCGGTTATTGCGTTCTTGACACAGGAAACCTTGGTCAGGTGGCAGTTTCATGGGTGTGGCCCGCTCACTGGTTAGCTGGCCTGAGAGGCGAGCCAGCCCCCATTCCTGGCCGTGATGTCTAGTGGGTGTGGACAGGGGCCTGGCTGCTCCCGAGAGAACCTTTCTGGGCTGGGGAAGGCGGGGGCTTCCCTCCCTCCGGCTCCTCCAGCGTTTGCCGTGGGAGATGCTTCTTCATGCTAACCCAGGGTCACACGTGTACTAGTTGAACCTCTTGGTGAAACAGGGCAAGTCGGGGGGGTGAGAGGGGCCTCCACTCGCCACCCTCGCCTTGGCTAATTGCACCCCTTGAATGAGTTCCGTGTTGCAGGGACACTGGGCACTACACACTCCATTTTCCTCCTTGCTTAGGCCAGGAGAAGACCGGAAATCAAATAACGTGAGAAAGTGCATGCAACACCAATTATCCGAAAGGCCACTGGGAAAAGTTGTGTAGATACAAGTCAGTGGACAGAAAGCAAAACAATTCAGATGCTAAAAAAAAGAAAAGAAAATTGGGCAGAAACCCATAATTACTTTAGGAGTTATGGTAATAAATTATTTATTAATGTAAATTACTTCACAGGCAAGGAACATAGAGGAAACTTGAGCAGAAGGATCATACATGATGTAT